GGGGGCAGAGCGCGCGATGGCAAGGCGCCAGATAAGAGAACTCGCCGGATGAAAAAGTTATAAATAAGCGTAGCGTTCGACGACGTGTTCGCAACTAATGCAAATACACAGCCTGCACTTTTTTTCTGACAGCGAGCACACCCGTCATCCTCCTTCCTTTATTTATCCTGCAGGATACCTCGGCAAGTCTGACTAACGTTCGCCGACTCGCTGCAATTGATCCACAATCGCGTCGCGAGCTAAAAAAAAAAAAGGAAAAAAGAACTCGCGCAGCAATGCTGGCCAGCTTTATTTTCGGGCGAGTTTATATCGCGCTCGAGGATTTTAATAATAGGCGGCGGTTCTACGACCGCGAAATAGTCCAGGCTGGTTGTATTAGGTTGTTGCAGAGATGAGATTGTGCATCTCTGAAAGTGATATTATTAATCCCCCGCTGTACACCCTGGTCATCGAGTTTGAACCATTTTCTGGAATTTTCAACTTGTTTTAGGTTCTATTTTTTCTTTTTTTTTTTTTTTTTTTTAACTGAAGAGTTCGAACGAAATTTAATTATGAGTTTCGATGGCCTATTGAAAATCCGTAAAACGTTAAAAATTGTGAACGGTTTTAATTTAATGGCCGGAATATCGATAACGTTGGATTCGGCGGACTTCGAGCTTCTAATCGATAAATATTGATATTCCAATAGAAGTCCAATAAATATTCAGCCCTCAAATACTATCATCGGGTTGCATTTTTTCTTGGACTAACATTCGGAGTAATTCATTTCATTTCGCGCTTCAGGTTTTCGCAGAGGTCAAGCATAAAGTTCAACGAAATTCTTCCGAATGACTTTACCTGCTCGTGAAATCCATCATTTCGAATGCAATAATTACAACTAACGAGGGACAAAATGAAAGTTCTGTACGAATGTTACGTTTCTTTCACGCGAGCCATTATATATATACATATATAAAGTTATGTACTTATGTCACTTCTGCGCAGCACGAAACAAAGTTTGAACTTTTTCAATGTTGAAAAATACTCGAAAAGGCAACAGGTTCTGATAAATCAATCGCGATTCTTGTTGAGAAATAGACGACCGTGTAGATCGACGATGTTATCAAACATCAAACACGCGCTTGCAATCTACACTCCGATAATGAAAATGCAGTTTGACAACGCAGCGTGGAAAATTTTCGGCCAGTTAGACGATTGTACTCAACGCACACCTGCGTCGAGTTCTAACTTGGGCTCGCGGTTTTGCAACACGTTTGTCGCAACCGTGCTAAGTAGGACCGGACGTGTAAAACTTTTTACGAACCACAGAGTCTATTGTCGCTTCGCGCGAAACGCTGGAGAAAGTTTCGTGGAAGTTTCGTCGCGAATCGTTTCGTTCGCGACTTCTCGAAAACACACGAAAAGATTCCAGAGAATCTCGGGGAACAATCGTAAGAACAAGAAGCGTATGTAGAAGCGCGACGCGAACTCGCGAAACGGAAACAGCTTTCCCGTATTCGATCCCAAAAAACACTTGCGACTCCCGCGAATTCTATTTCCGTTCTCGGAGGATCGTTCGCCTATCAATCGCGACTCGTGATCGTTCCCGTACTCCTTTGCTCCCAGCGGACCAGACGCGATCTGCTAGCCAAATATTTTTCGAGCAACGTCCAAACACAAATAACGTCAAATGGCGCAGACTTTAAGAACGAAAAGAAAAAGGAGCGTGAAGAGAAGAGAATGAAAAAACTGAGGAAACCTGACTCAAGTCAAGAGAACTTGAAGTTTGGTGGAAGTCGTCTGCGTGTGTATCGATCGGAACGAAGAGAAATTGGGACGCTTAGTGCGTTGCAGCTGGTTGAGATCTAAAGGTGGGATTTGCCGTAAGAACGTACGTCACAGAGATATTTATATCGACGCTCTATGGAGAAGCACGAACTTTGTTTTCCTACATTTTCAACTGCGCAAAATCACTGAATAGATCGCTAATTATCAACTAAAGTTACTTTAGCTATTAGTTTTAATGATCAATTAAAGTTATATCAATTAAAGGTATGTTTCAGAGTCGATAATTAGAAGAGTGCGGGTATTTTTGTGACTACGTGTCATTACCCTCCGTAGGAACAAATCTTCAATTCGTTTCTTCGCGACTTCATTGGCCAAAAAATGGTATTGAAAGGGTCAAGGCAATTAATTAAGGCAATCAACTGCGCAACATGTACCACATAAATTATAAATGCGACGCAAATTTCCCAGAATATTCTCCAATATTTCGCGTCGATGACGCGGTTTGGATTTTTCCAAAACTGATCGAAATGAACCGAATCCTCCAGAGACAACTGCGAGACTTCAAAAAACAACGATCATAGAGACCAGAATCCAGAAAGACCATCTAGATTTTCATGAACACTAGGTTTTCCAACACTTCTGACGTAAAACTGAATCCCAGACCTTCAACATCTTCAAAACTTTCACGGCTATTGAAAGACTTTCAAGAATTTCAAAAGACGTTCGGTACTTTTTACCGATTATCGAACCCCTTAACTTCAAGTGACTCGAATTTTGACATTTCTGAAAAATTGCCCACCGAGTAGAAGTTCGAATTCTACCTGTGGGTGGTTCAACCACTCACCGGCCGGAATCAGCGTCGAAGTTAAAGACGAAAACCTAAAACCAAAGTGCTGGTAGGCACATACAAAGAGAGAGAGAGAGAGAGGAGGCAGAGAGGGAGAGAGAAAGAGAAAGAGTCGAACTGCATCGGCGGAGTTGCAGCCGAAGACGAAGTCGCCTAGCAGGGGCTAAGCGGGTAGGCCGGGGCAAGGGAGTGCGAAAGGGGTGAGGGGGAGGGGAGGGGGCCCAAGAAACTGTCGGTGGGCGTCGTGGCATCGGGCGACGGCGACTGCCAGGGCTTGCCGAGGGGCAGAGAGGTGGCCACCCAATGACGGCAGTATAGGGGCAATGGAGGGCAACGCACCCAGTCAGCCTTGGCATGAATTGAGTCTAGCAATGCGAAAGTAAGGTTAGCAGGCGCATTAGCGCCGCGTCCAGCTAGTTCTCCCCGCTTGCCAGCACCAAGTGCATATCTCTCTCTCTCTGTCTCTCTGTTTCTTTCTCTCTTTCACTTCGAGTCTGCCGGTCCCGTCCGCTTATTTCATCGTCCGCAGGATTTTATCTCGACTCCGGACCCCCGAATCACCGCGTTCCTGGGCCCTGCGCACGAATCAACCCGTGGTTCCAACACCGTGGTTGATAGTGGACCATGCTGTTCACCCGATCCGAAGAATGAATTATCAAAGAAATTTGGTGTCTTGATAGAGAATTTCGTAATGTGGTTAGGTCCCTTAGGTTGAGTCGAGAGAAAAGACCAAGACACGAAACTTTTGAGAGAAAATTTTTATAGCAGAGAGAAATTGAACCAGACGCGAGTATTCTTCGAAGGTGAACCACCAGAGAAAATTTATTCACGTAGATTCAATTTTGATACATTCTCGGTTTCTTGCGGATACGAGGAATTGAATCGACGTTGCGCTGGCACGTAAGAATAAAAATCTAAAGCTTGGTTTTGCAAGTGTTTCTCAAAGTAAATCTAAACTTGACGAACTTCAATAATTTCTTCTGTAGACTTGAGACAAAAAAGTCGCTGTTGGCAATTGTTTGTCAGAGGAAAACTACTAAAGAATAGCAAAGACTTTCGATAGATTTTTCCCAGTGTTTCGAGAATCCGAGAGAGCGATCGTATCGCTTTCGCGTTGGTTTGGCAAGTGCTCTCCGGAGGAGCTTATTGATCCAACGATCGAACGCGCGGTTTCACGCAGTTTCGTCCGAGTTCACGCCTTCAACGATTGACACGAATCCACGCCAAAAGGAAGGAATCTGATGCGATAACCCAGCTTCCTCGTCGAAGCGGATCCTCGCCACGTGGAATTAAGCTCCACTATCGGCAAACAGATTGATCGAAATTTTCGCACGATGGCGTATCAAGGAACGGAACAGTTGCTCCGATGTTTTTCGCAAAGCGTTCGCGTGACTCGTGCCCGGAAGTGAACCTGGTAGCGGAAATAATTACCCTTATTTATCTCTCGAGCGTGGTTGCTCAAGCGCAATCGGTCGCAGTAACAATGTACCTTTTTGCGAAACTATAACCGAAAATTACGAAGCCAACAAACTGACAACTGTGTCATTTCTTTCGAGTACTTTTCTTTCAATAACAACCAGCAGCAAAACAAAGTCTATCGACTTTCGGCGCCGCAGTCCTTGGACAGAGTAATCGTTCTAAAATCGATGCAACGGAGCACCGGTAACCACAATCGCTAACCACATTGCGACATCTTCGCCTCGTGCTGGAGCATAAATTATTCATGTCCGTAAAAATCTCAGCCTTGCTGATCCCTCGTGAAATCCGTGTCTGCAATCATCGAACCGGACGCGCCGTAAATTTCCACGAAAATACCTTGACGTTCTTCGCGGCGATACAGGTCATGGAAATTCGATCGGACGGGGAAAAGATTAAATCCGCTGCGGAGTGAAATCGCCCGATTGTCTCCGTGTTAGTTCTTCCGATTTTTCTCGATGACTGTTCTCAAGAAACTCAGCCACGACGATCGTTTGAACAATCCAATCTGTGATGACGCTGCACTCATGCGTATTTTTCTCGTTATATTTTATTTCCCTCTACGTCTTTTTTGCGTCTCTACGCTCTTTACGTCTTTCTGCATTATCGTTGTTTGTTCCGTGTTTTTGTGCCAAAGGGAACTTCTCGCCCCGTGGAAGCAAACAAATTAAGCGAAAACCGAAGTTGGAGAGAGACCGAGCGCGAAACTGCACGGCCAAGTTGGCGCAGCCGATGCAGGCGATCGTGTCGGAAAAAGAGCTAGAGGCATGCGGGAACGTGAAGCGGAGAGGGGACGGAAGGGAGACGCAGAGGTAGAGACCACGTTAGCCTCGAGAAACCAAATGGAACGAAGAAAGATAGAAGCAAAGAGAGAAAGAGAGAGAGAGAGAGAAAGAGAGAAAGAGAGAAAGATACGAACAGATAAACAGAGAAGGAGGGACAGCGACGTAAATGAACTTGGACGAGGGAACGAGACGGAGAGAATGCAAGTCGGAGGAAGAAGCAAGTGCAACGTCCAGTGGTGGGGTAGGTGGTTGACGGTGGTGGGAGTCGACGCGCCGCTTTTGAAAAAACCGCAAAGCTTTAAGAAGGCGCGCGGTACCCCCCACCCTCGAGTACTACGCGAGCAACTAGCGGCAGACATAGACAAGCCTCGCGCTTACTATTACTGGAAAATAGTTGGATCCGAGTGGCCGAGGATCCCGTCGGGAAATTCTCGAGAAAATCGGTCCACGCGTGAAATCGTGAAAGTGATGTTTCGCGAGTAGTAGTTCGCGCCAGCCGAGGCCAGCCGAATTTTCGGCGGCCGAATTTCCTCGATTCGTCCGATTCGTTTCGCGATACGACGATGATTTTGCGTGCACTCGGCCACGATCGCCGTCGGAAAAACGAACGATGATGCACGTACGCATCGTTGGGATTCTTCTCGATGGAAGATGCGCCTCGTAAGAAATGTGGAAAACGAGAACTATAGACGTTTGATTAAAAGAAATTTTTGGAGCAGTGATGTGTCGATGATTGGAAAATTTGTTTCGTTCTGGATCTACGATTCTCTCTCTATCGATACAACGTACGAGTCGTTTAATGCAAAAATCATGCAAGCTATAATAATAAAAGTAATTTCTGAATAACGAGGGACGAAGTAAAAGTAAAAGTTCTTTTACGCGAGCCATTGTAAAATTATATTGGGTTGGTGCATACGAAATGTCGTTCTTCCAATGTAATTCTGACCGTGTGTAACCTTTTCAAAATATCATGCGTTTAACTGAAGTAATTATTTCTATATTTTTTCGATCGACGAAATTCATTCAGTAATTGTTAATTTCAAAATTCAAAGAATTCTTGAAACAGGGTTGAAGCAGCAGAGTTGGTCTTAACTTTCAATTTCTTTTAACGAACGCACGCGACGAAACGGGAGGTTTCTTCAACGTTTCATCCTTTCTCAAATGCCAAATGTATTTCGTAATTTTCAGGATATTTCTAAATATAAACTTGTACTAAATATTCATGGCTACAGAATGATACAAGATTTTGATATTTCCATTATAAATCTTCATAAGATGAATATATCCGATTTCTTCCTCTTTAATGATAATTAACAAACTCGACATTTTATATACACCAATCCTCATACGACGACACCTTATACCACTTCTGCACGAAACAGGAGATGGAGATCGAGCTTTCGAAGCATTCGTGAGAAACCGAGACAAGAAATAAATCGTGAAAACACGTCCTCCGTCGAGCTGGATCGAAGACAACGATCGAAAACGCACATTGACGCGGATTCATCCACGTCAAATTCTCGCTGAATTTTATGAAAAATTCAATTACCTACGTATCTTTGGAATTCGTCGTTCACGCACCGTTGTCACCCCGAAACCACCGTCAACGATGGCCAGTCGCAAGAAGGAAATTGAATTCCCCGTATCTACAGAATTCTCGTCGATCCACCCGGGCTTATCGCCGAGTTGAGGGAAAACGACTCCGGTACAGAAACGAGGAATTGTGTTTCGATGATGAAGTGCGCGACCGCGGACACCGTCGCGACGATTTACGACGACGATTATAAAACGGGAAAATATTTCCCGATCCGCGAGGGATAGTATTTTTTCCAGCCGTTTAGCAGCATGGGAAATTTATTAGATCCAAGTAGGGAGATTTACCGCTCGGTTGTGCACGCGGCGATCGCTCAACAACGGTTGCATGATTTATCACGAGCAGCTTCGCCTTCGGTATTATAATTTTAAGGGATGAAAGGAGAAGGCTGAAAGAGCGCGAGTTCGATTGACGGGTAATTTATTACGTGATCCAACTTCCTGGTCCCCTGCGCAGTGTTCCCGCCGTGAAGATCGAGTGTCCAGAAATTGCTTCTTCGTGTCGTTCCAGTGAAAATGGACCCTCTGTTTTCTTTTCTCGTTTTTAGAGAAATTTCTACCTCTTGCGCTCGAAGTTGGATTAGACTGCGGGTCGTAGTAGATACAGGTCTGGAATTTATGTTCCGGCTAGTAATTTTGTAAAATTTTTCTTTTCCTCTTGCTGCGCAACGAAGTTCCAAATTGAATTTCTAACTGTTTCAGTTTGACTGTAGCGGTGTAATTATTATACTCTTCCGTTGGAATGACTTTGTAAAGATGCAGCAACTTTAACTTTTATTTTTGACCATGAACTCTCTCGATATTTTCTCATTGTTGGATAAAAAACTATCGACCATCTCGTGCTGATGACACACAGAGAGTTCAAAATTGAATTTTCACCATAGCTGTTAAAATATATTCTGTTCTTGTGCGTACATTAGAGTGATTCTGCAACGACGTAGTATCTTTTTCCTACCACACTTCCCCAATATTTTCTCGTTCGGAGACTATATTTCCCCGAGTTTCTCGTAAACGCACGACAAATTCTATCGTTCGACTCAAAGTTGAATTTCGAAATGCTATGTTCTTCGATTCTCTGTAAATATACAGCTTCGTCCGACTTGCCTTTTACATCCAGAAATCAAAGCTCGCGTATCTCGCAGCGAAAGGTCTTTCACTCCTTTCGAAGTAAACCTTTTAAAATCTGTCTCCGTGTTTCTCGATCGCAATTATCGCGCTCTACTCGTAGGTGAGACGCTACTCGTTAGTGATACACTATCCGCCAGGCGATTCTTCCTCTCTTTCTCTCTTTCTCCTCCGAGCGGAAAGCTTGCGGCTGAGCTTTGTAAGCTCGTACGATCGTAAAATTATTCAACGGGCCGCGTCGGTTCACCGCGCGATCCGCAATTGCATTTAGACAGGTGGCCACGTTATGACATGCCGAGCCCGTAAACCGCTTACCGTGGGTGGCGATACGCTCCCGGAGCACGTGGAAAATTGGATCGCGACCGTACGTATCCCGGCATTGTTAACATAACTAGCACGTGTGTCACGCGCCCCGTGTGTATGTCGCGCACGTATCTCGCCACCGTACACAGGGTGCGTCGGAAAATCGGTGGCACGATCGGCCAACTGATGATTCTACGAACAATGATAAGAACGGGAATGAAAGGATAACATTTTCTCGTTCGTGCGTCGATTTTCGTCGAAAATCGAGTTCGAGGATGTTTAGGTGTTTCTTTTCAGTTTGAATTTGTCCATTGTCGAACAATTCTGTAAATTATTCAAAAGTTGTCTGAAAATTTCTTTCGGAAGGTCAAACGCATCTTCCGTTCTATCTGCAGAATATTTCAATGTATAAATTGAAGCAGCCGCCGTTGCTTTGGCTCTGTTTCAAGGATGTTTGAATTTTGAAACTAGCAATTCCTATGAATTTAGAATATTGTTAGGTGAAAAACTGTGCCATCAGATTCTGATTAAATACACGCAATCAAAGTTGCATTTGAAAAATATTTCCCATGCACCGATCTAATAACTAACAATTGGCTACATATTAATGTAATTGTGTTCCGTGGCTTATTTTCAAGAACACCCTCGCGTAATCAAATTCAATTACAACTGACATTATCATTTTCCAACTCGTTCCTCTCGAGAACGAATGTCGTTCGTTTATCCCGATCTATCTTCACACTTACACTTTAGAATTCGGTACGTCGTGTGTACGCTTGTCCCGAATGTGAAACATTCGGTCGTCGGTTCGCACGGAGCTAGCTCGCGTGCTCCCCTCAGAAGGGAAAACAATATATCCTGTTTTTTCGCGAACGTGTTCCCTCGTCCAGATCTCATTTGCATCGTTATCGACACGCCGATAGGGAACAACGTCGCATTTCCACGTTTCTCGCGCGTCTCCTGTACTTTTCCTTTCACCACCGGAAATTCAATCCGACCGGAACGTTCCGTCTCAACAAAATCAACACTCCGATTTCGCGGCGCGTACGCGACACACCGGGCGTCGAGTGCGTCGCGATAAACGAGTCAAAGGTTTCGGAATTCCGGTTCCTCTTTCGCCTCGTGTCTTCGCGAGATTAAAGTGCAGTTCCGGGCACCTATCGTGGCGGGCGGTGCCGCGCACGTCCGAGAGATCTAATCTTTTATCGTGGCACGTTCCGAAATCTCGGTGATCGCGCCGATTCCGCCGACACCCCGCCGCGCGCTCGAAAAACGACCGGTGTCGGCTCTCCGTCGAGTCGCGAGTGCTCGTGCGTGAACTCTCTTGATTGCATCTCGCTCGAGTGGTTATCTTGGAAATAAAAGAACGACCGAGTATACATAGATATTGGTTATTTCGTGCGCGGATAATTTCATGGACTTTTGGTGGAGGAGTATCGTTCAATGTGAGCGAGAAAAAGTGATACGAGTGTATTTGTGAATGAAGGGGGTGGAAAATCGAAACGTTTGTGCAAGAAAGTGAGAAAAAATCGAATTTGGAATGTAGGTAATTTTAGAAAGATCATTATTTTGTATTCGAAGCACTGGATTGTACATAGTGAACAGAAAGATAAAAGAAATTGAGGTTAGCATCTACATTTGGTCGTAAAAGTCTACGTATATCAAATTTCGAAAAAGACGAGGATTTTAAAACATTTTATGTATACTTTCTGTAAAAGTAATTCTAGAAGAATGATTATTAATCGGAATAGAAAATATAAAACTCTTCTCTGCAATTATTACTATGGACATGTTAGTACAAAATGATAATGTTATTATCATTACAATCAATTAATAATTTTCACAAGACTACAATGAAAAATGAACAATATAATAAAAAAGTATTACAATTTAAATAAATACAAGAAACGTTCTTAATATTTTTAATCAACAAGATCCGAAAGAACGTCCGAATCATTTCTCTTGCATTTCAAATGTTTCGAGCTTTGAGAGATGTACGTAGACCTCTCTGACCGACTGTAGCAGAAAGGCAAAGTGCTATGTGTGCACGTAGGATGTCCGTGTGTCCCACTATATTAAAATCCACTATATTACCCTTTATCGACTGAAATATGGACAGCGTTAAAGGCAAATAAGGAGCAGAATGAAAAATAGTAAACGAACAGCCCACGAACGAAACTGTATTGTCGATTCGAAAGAACATAAGGACAAAGTTGAACGTGTTAGATGGCATCCTTCATCTTCCTTAAGGAACGTTCTCCCCATTCCGAAATCGCGGAGTCGAACGTTCACAAGGGTTGAAGTAGGTCGAGGGAGAAAGAACGAGGCCTGCAAGCGATTAAACTATCAAACGGCACCTTAATAGCCACCATGCGTCAAGCGAGATATTGCCTGACACACGCTTAGGTAGACACATTGTCCTAAGATGATTCGAATCTTACCGATCTATCGCGAGAGTTTCGCGCAGTTCGCTGCGATAATACCGGTATAAATTCACCCGTGGTTGATCCCTTAAAACGGTCCCCGAAATCCCCTAATACCTTCCCTAAGGAATAAGGTAAGATAGGGTTATTCGAGTCAGTAGGTATATTTGGATCGAGTTAAATAATTCATCCTTTCGATTTATCGGATTCAATTGCGCGCAATCTTCGGGTCTTATTTAAGCCAATCGTTTTATTTCGACCAATCTAAACCAAATTATTCCTCCTTAATTCCGAAATCATATTGAATTTCAACACTTTCATTTCTCCGGCTCAAGTTTCAAATTTAAATTCTAGCATTCAAGTTATTCTAGAAAAGTTATTCTTCTCCATCGCCGGATGATGGATTCAAATTGATTCATTCGTATTCGTACCTCCGAGAGAATAATTAAGAAAACGGGACAAAGATTAAAAAAACACAATCACAGTTGCGCGTCGTGTCCAAATTTTAAAGTTTCACAAAAATATATAGGAAACCGCAATTTACTACTAATAATAAATCGTAATGGACAATAAGTTCAAAATTGAATTTCAACACCTTCTAAAACTGATTCGAATTTCCCACTAGTGTTTCCAACTTCCAAACCTCGTCAAAAAAAAAAAAAAAGAGAGAGAGAGAGAAAGATATACAATAGACTGTAGTTAATTTCTGAGCTGCGAGCGAAAACACACTTCGGGAGATAGGTTTTTTCAAATGGTGAAAACAACTCGTCTGGTTGAAGACCGAGAAGATGGAAAGTCGGGAAATCAGTCGGCAAACGGGAGGGAGTATCGCGTAATCGATTCTGGTTAGAAACGACGCTCGAATTTCCTGCATGCAAATCGAATGCAAGCCTGAGCCGTACGTGCCAGACGAGGATGCCCACGCTGCTTCCGATCTGCCAGACCAACTGTCACATTGGAGAAATCAGTGCACCGTGGACTGTAAATCCGGCGTCTATCCAGCGAGAGATCGCGGTTGCACCGATAACTATTCATAGCCTCAAGTTTCTCCTAGCGATTCTGATCGCTACTACTGGTAAACTGACTCGGATTACGGGACGTTTCTAATTGTACGTGCGCAAACGAGAATAGGGACAGTGGCATGAATAATTGTTGTTACATTCTGTTTCCCCGTGTCTCGGTACGATAATTTTCAACAAACCAACAACGAGCAAAAGCAGCGGTGGCCGACCAAGTGAATAAACAAATAAATCTCCGTGTGCAACAAAGGAAAATATAAATAAACAGGAGAAACATGCGTGAAGGAGAAACACTTAATCTCTGTGATACATTCGTGCGCTTAATAAAATTATTTTAAACGAATTAATTTTAAACGAACCAACAACGAAGCAAGCAGATAGATATCGAGCAAATCAACGTGTAAATAAACGGAGGAAAATATAAATAAACAAGAGGAATGTGTGTACGTAAAACAGGGACACCTAGTTACTGTGATATTCGTGCGCCTAATGTACCAGATGAGCTATGCTGCAAGGCCATAAATAATAGAGTGCGCGGAAGATAACGTCCAGCGAATGTAACGAAGTCCGTGCTTAGATCCGCATTTAATGAGTATTTATCGGCGTTAAAACGATTACGCGGATTATCAAGCTGCATGGTTCACGGACAATTATACGCTGTGTCGCAACGATCGAAATCCAACGATTAAGGCCGGAACGACGGAGCATATTCAGCAAGGATGTTTCGAGCGTACGTATACGTACAGTTGATGAAACTCCGCAAATTAAGTTATGGTGGAAAATTTGAAAATTTGAAAATTTCGAGGTCTTGAAAGTCTTGGTTTATCTTTCAGTTTCAAAACTCGATGATCTTAACAGACGATAAGTATTCGGTATTTTCTACAAACATTTTCTACGTTTTATCCCAGGTATAGATCATTGATCTGGAAAGTTTATTAAAGCAGCCTAACCTAAAATTTCTTTTTAAACGAAGTCAATTTTTTGACAGCTAGTTTCATCCTTGGGTACAGCTCCGACATTTAGAAATGTTAACATCATAACTGAAATATTCGTGTTTATTTAAAGGAACCATTATTTCTTTCTTTTAATCTTAATGCTTAAAACTCAATAATTTCGTCGTCTGTCAAAAGCTTCAAGACTTTCAAAACTCAGGATTCTCTCAAGACTTTCGAGAAATCGAATCACACTCGCAGCGATTCGAATTTTCACAGTATCGAGAATCATTAACGATATTATCGTTGCAAGCATAATGAAAGTAAATCGACGGTCATGATGCTACTCTGAGTAGTATCTCGTTCGGACACGTAATCTGGTCTCTAAAATATCACCGAGGCTTGCCCTCAAATTGCAAAAAAATTCGAGGATAGATAACGAGCATACAAGCTGGCTACTTAGCAACTGCCGAGCATAGAGAAAGGAGTGCAATGAACGCGCGTCGCCATCTGGCATGCATTGTACGCGTTTCTGTGGATTTGACGGATGATCACCGGTCTCTCCGCGCCGCTTTCGTACTTTGTGCGAAAGCCTTTCCTTCCTTCTTGAATGCCGCTCGTTACGGATTTGCGGTCGCAGCCTCGTTTTCTTCAAAACCGTCGCCCGTTTGAGCCCGCGAACGACACACAACGGCGAGCACACGGCACAATTCCAGTCACGATAACGTTCCTCATCGGGGCTCTGGAACGCGATGCGGTTTATTCGCCGTTCCGTTTCCGTTTCCCAGGCAGTTTACACATGGCCGAGGCTCGATCGTTTAGCCGGGCGAACGCCAAGAACCAGAGCAAATATTGGCACGGGCCAACGACGACAAAAGAGAGGTTTCGACTTTCGCGATGAGAAAAATCGCCGGGCCAGCTACGGCGAGCGACGCCAATGCAAGCGGGTGCCCTTATGCCCTACGGGTCTCTCCGCTGGGCGGGCAAACGGTGGCAAAAGGGGCGGACAAAGTGCTTCGCAGCCGGTGAACTTTTGTGGTACGCCGCGGCCACCTAAGAATCCGGGACGCGACGTCTTTTCGCTTCGCGTTTCGTTAAAAAAGACTTTCGAGAACGGCCCTCTCTCTCGTTCGAAACGTTCGCGAAACGATCCTTTGACGATTCTCTGACAAGTCTTTCTTCGTCGACTTCGTTTCGACGTCTTCTCTGAAAAATGACGTTTAACCCCTAAGCGGTCGTGTCGTTCAGTTGCGATTCATTGATCGGAATTATCTCGATTTCATTTCGTGTTGTATCGTAGAAAACAAATCGGTCGTAATTGAATTCGACAATTTGCGCGACAAAAAAAATGTATAATGTATAATTATCACGGCGTCGTTCATGAAGTATATTTATTTAAGTGTGTCTTTATATATTCTAGTTATGTCAATTCCTTTTTCGCACTCTTTTCTTTTTTATATTATTTTATAAATAATAATTTAATAATAAAAAAAATTTTTATTATTATTAAATTATTATTATTAAATTTTTGTATCAGGAATATGATACAAAAAATCGAATTTCGATAGTAACCACTATACTTCGAATATTTCACAGTGTTTTTATCCACTGCATATGCAATTTCACACTTTAATAATGTCGAAAACGACAGCGAACGAAACAAGACCATAAGCTTTACGAATCGCTTGATTGCGAGAAGGCACACGACGAAATTACTTCGCTCGAATAAAGTCACGCCTCAATTATCCGATAATTATCTCGTCACTCGCATTTTTCCTTCGAGTTCAACGAACCAACGCTACGAATATTTAAAAATTCAAAGGCGCAATTTTGAATGCACCTTTTTCACGAGGAATTTGTCTCGAGTAATTTCATTCCTCACGAAGAGCCACCCTCGTCATTTAAACTAGACACCTTTTAGTCAAGGAGATCCTCCTCCCATTCTCTCCTTTGGTCGCCCGAGGCATCGTTTCCCTTGTCCGAGCCGGTGCATTCGTAAAGCGGGCAACAACGAGGAGAAGAACACCGAGCTCTCGAAAAAAACAAAAAAAAAAAAACAAAAAAAAGAAAAAAAGCAAACGATTTACATTTCAGTCGTGGTATGCCACATTTTCTTCAGCCCTGACTATGTAACGTTGCATGTCCATCCACGTATAGCGAACCGCTATGAAAAACCAAGTAGTTTCCTGGCTCTTGGACCGTAGTCTCGTCAGGTTCTCGCGTCCCCTTTCTCTAACACCTTATACGCGTTTTTCAAACGTTAGCCTTGTTTCATCTAGGACAGTTCTGTTTATAGAAATCGCACTACAACGTAAGATCGTTAAAGAGGGTAAATCGACCTCGGAAAATGGATAACGAAAGCTTGAAGATGCCACGTTATATCTATTAAAAAACAAATCACGTTATAATTTCATTTACAGAGATCAAGATTGACCAAACCACAATCAACGTGCTTTTATTGATTATTAATTCCTTAATTTTACTCTTTTATCGAGAAACGACCTAGTTAACACGTTAATAATAATAATATAAATATTATTTTTATATATTACATATTATTATTTTTATATATTAATAATAATGTATAAAAATCTATGTGATCAGGTCAGTTATACTCTTCACTACAAGGGAAATAGCATTCTCTTTAAAGTTTCATTTCAACGCGAAATAAATAAAAATGCCACGAAGAGCAACCAGGTGACCCAGGTGACCCAGGTGCGGCGTGTGCTCGATGGATCGTCACGAAAAAGCGTTCGTTCACGATAGGGTAGGTGGTATCCATTAATTTTATAGAACGTTCGGTGACACGGTCCCGCGATCGGTGTGAGCGATCTTTACACGTATGTACATATATGTACGAAGCAACGATCATCCAAGTCGGGCTGAAAATATCGAGAGCCGGTCGTTCTGGCGGCAGTCAGCGGCAGTGACCTGATTTTAATTTCACGCGTGTTCGATAGCAGTCACCGGGGCGGCGCAGCGCTTAGATGACTCGGTCTAGAGAAAAGGAGAGAGAGAGAAAGAGAGAAAGAGAGAGGAGCACTTTTCCTGGCCGCGACGCGAGCGCATTTCGCTTAACCTCGACTCGTTTTCTCTTCTGCTCGGCATCGTTTGATCGCGCGGCCGCGGACTCGCCAACCGGAATGTAAAGCGACTTCTCGTTTTTCGCAGCCGCTGCGCACAATCTAGTTCCACGGATTTTCTTCGTTCTTTTTTTTTTCCCCTCCTCTGGACCAACGTGATAACCAACAGAGGATGTGACAACGAGAGAACTACAGAACACGATACACGTAACACATGTGTCTCAACCTTGATTCAGGACCAAGCAACAATTAATCATAACGATCCAATTTCTTTAAATTTCATAAAATTGTGGAATATATGGGAAACCCTGATGAAAGGTTATTAAACGAATCTTTGTAAAATACGTAATTCAGTAATGTAAATTAATTGAAAAATATTGAAAATAAAATGAATTAATACACGTCTAGTTCAGAGAATCCATCAGATGTCGCGAGTGAATAATTTTTAGTGTCTGATTTTCAAACGTTAAGCTCGCAAAGTTGACTGACAAATCGTTGCTCGTATGAAAATGTTTTTACATACTCTCGATGAAATATAGTTGAAATTATCTCGTTTTTCAAGTTATTGTGTCCTTAATTAATTTTAAAATATTTCTCTAAGGAAATTTCTGTTTATGTATAGAGAGCTTTCTTGAAACGCGTCATTTTAACGGCGAGGCTAGCTGAGAAATAAAAATAAAAATTCCCTCTAGACATTTCAGACCGGTGATTCCATGAAAGCGGCATCCAAAAGTGTGTTTAACGGAGTCGAGATTTCATTTCACACAGCGCGCAACCCCATCCGGCAAAGGGGTTAACGTTTCGAGTGTCATTGTAAACCTTGAAAAATGCCATTGACCGCCCCTGTTCCAACCCCGTGAGTTACTCGCGACCGTTCTAATTACCTGGTGCCTGTATTTCGTAATTGACACTGGCGGTTGAAAAAACACAGATCCAATATTTTACGCTCTCCGGTTCATATTTGCGACAATATGTATATTATTTTTGATGACCGAAATCAAATAAAGCCTGATAACGTGAAACTGACTGATACATTATATCTATTATTAAGTTTGAAATTTGTACCTCTCGTGATTTTCGATTGATTTGTATCGCAACGATTTTTTAGTATCACTGAATACCGCAACGCTTGAATTGAAAAACAATGTTTTTGCGATTTTTTTATTCTGGAAACCACCGCAGAACTACTGGATTAATTTGTCATTCTTTTGTACAACACGTTTTTTTATGGATTTACAATTTGAAGGATTAAAATATATACAAATGAAAAATTGAGTTCTTTACTGTACTTTAAAACCTTTCCCATCCCTCAGCACTTTCATTTCTCTGATGCAAGTTCCACGCTTCACTCGTCGATAGTTCCAACATTAAAACTCCATAAAAATGAAAAGGGAAGCTAGAGAAGATTATCTGTCATAGTCTCACAGGTAAGAAGAATTTCTACGACTTTAAAATGAAATATGGATACACGGAACTCCGTAAGGTTCCGGATGAAAAAGATGACAGAAAAAAGTGCGAGTTGGACGAATCGACCCAGTTTTCTGTCACAAATATGATAGAAAATGAAATTCAATAATGCAAATTAACAGGAGGAAAGTCTGCAAATGAAACGTTACATTAATACAACAACCATGAACTTTAGATTAAGAAGTGCGAACTAAAGGAACATAATATTCCAATAGTGTTACCTCACTGTAATATTACAGAAAATTAAACCTACTGCCACAGGAGTATCCTTGCTGAATACTGCTTTGAAACCTATCAAACTATAAAAGTTAAACTGTATCTTCATGAATATTATGTTCACACGCAATTAATACTAATAAGATTTCCACAAAGCAATACATATTCTTCTTTGCATTTCTTTGAAACCATACTTCGAAGAACTGTAAAAAATAAATTATTCTAAATAACATTCAACAACTATCAACGAAACGTTCACAAAGTAAAATGCACATCTCTCATGAAACAATCTATATTCTTTAAGTAAAATTTGAGCCTTCGACGTATATCCTGCAAGGTATAAGTCGAGAAAGGTATATCCTGCGCAGACTTATGATCGCGAAATCATCCGACAGAGAGAGAGAGAGAGAGAGAGAGAGAGAGAGAGAGAAAACGCGCGGACCGAGCAACTAGCACACATGAATGTTTGAAATTGCGAAAGAAGATAAGCGGAGGCGTCGCAGACATGAAAAGTCGTCGTAAAGGGAGGAACGGTGGGTCGTAAAGTTGTACCAGAGCCGGGTGTTCAGCGACGCGCGAGTCTTGTGCCTGCGAGTCATTTGACCCACATTGTCCCAACTTAAAGTCGATGTAGGGGCCAGCGTACGTTTGCAATAGCTGCAAAACAACATATTCACCGTTACAAGCCGAATGCAAAACCGCAGCGACGCACAGTGGTCTGTCTGGTAATAATCTAGCGGGGCAAACGTCCAAAATACCGCGACGTGAAATCTAAAAAATAAATCAGTTTTATATTTGGTTTTCGGCTCCACAGCTTTTACTAAGTTATACACAACTAAAATATTGAATGTTAGAAATAAAAGATTTTTTTCAGCGAGAACATAATTTAAGTTTCATTTCCTGTCTCAATAACTTAGTAACATTGACGTAAAAATATCTAACACGAACATTACCAATTCTATCTTCGAGTGTACCTACACTATCCCTAGAAAAATTTGGAGCATCAAGATTATAAAACTATGTTCTTCCAACAGATAGAAGATTACGTGATTAAAAATAGAAAAGACTTAAATTACGTTTATAATCAAAACATATCTATTTATTTTCCTGATATACCACACAGACAAGTTTTAAATTTTAAATTGCCTGTCTGGCAGTGTACAATTAATGCTAAAGACGGCCTCGTTAAATATTTAGCCTTATTGTTATAATGGATTTTCGTGAAACGTATACGAGCAATAAGTATCTCGTAACCTCGTTTCAGACCCGTTTCAAACATTACCAATACCATCGTGATAATTATACGCGTATCGTGCATTACCACAAAACACGCATAATACACAATATATTCAAAATAACTTTTCACATGCGTATTCGGAATATTTTCGCGAACCACACGTACATATTTCTCTCCTCGATATCGATTAACGTTGAGACGGCGATAAAAGAGAAAAAAAAAAAAGAAAGGCAAAAGTGCGTGCGACTTTCTCCGTTTGGTATGTTGCGAGCGGAGGGCGTCTAATATTTATCGATTCACGTCAAAGTTCATGGATCGTGAAGTTGAACGTGAACGAGTTGACAAGGAGAGATACATCGATTGGAAATTCGAAAGCGGCGTGGCGTTAAAAGAGCATTGGCGACAAGGATAGTCCAGAAAATGTGTATAGAGCAGAGTAGTGGAATGCGCCACCATCTATCGACTGCAGCTGACACGAGCTCCGTCCGTTCGTTCGGAATGAGGCGAAGTTCCTATCGAACATCGATCGAATATGCAAAAACTGCACGCCGATCGGAACCGAAATCTACCAAGAGAGGGAGGGGGAGGGGGAGAGAGAGAGAGAGAGAGAAGACACTAACGTTACGTGACATTGTGTCATCGTTCCATTGCACAATGGATTGACAATTTCAGTATAGATCGTGTATTAAAGTTCGCAAATTTATTACGAAATTAAGAACACGTGTTTTTGATAAATATATACACTTTTTTTTTAATTATATCATATACGTTTTTTAATAAAATTTTCAGAATCTCGAGATTTTAATTGGACGAAGCACACTTTTGTTTTTCCTGCAAGCGATTTTTTAAACGTTGCAGTTGCGTCAAGCTCGCAACCACCCGTAAAATATTCAAAGCATCGTACTCGTTACGACATTTAACAAATGCAGCAAACAATAATTCATATAAATATCTGCAGTTCTCAACAAAAGAAAGTTTCAAATAATATATTCGTCGAAAGTTTCAACAAGCGTTCCAGCGCACTTGAACGATCCCACAGTACGAGGTGCAACGATCGATTCGACGACGCCCGCGAGTAGTGAAAACCGAACAGAACGAAGTGGCTGCACAACGAGCGAGGCGGAGAGTTGGGCGCGAACTTTCCATTGGATTTGAAAGCCGGCCAAGTTGAGACCGGTTTTCCAAATTCAAGCGGAAAACGTTCGCCAAACACGAGACGATACGCGAACCAACTCGCGGCGAAATTTATCGAGAGGACTTTATTTTAAAATATCACGGGCCACGTAACCGAGAAAGAAAGCGACCTTTGGAACGGCCGAGATACCGTTTTTAAGAGGGATTTGCCTCAACCGAGAGGACTCGATGCTTTCTCTGGGCGGGAGTGTTTTCTCAGAGATAGCAGACCGCGAGAGCTAATTCGGGGGATAATTGTGCGGACCTCGCGGACTTTGAACATAATCGCTCCTCTTCCTCCCCTGGGGAAACTTCGTGCCTGTTCAACCAGGATATAATTTAATTAATTTCATTTGCTTACTAATTCAAGAAATTAAGCATTCCCATGTGCAATAACTGAAGGATCAGAACAATGTATTATTACATTTTGATGTATATGAAATGTTTTTCAAAAATATAATTTTGATCGTAATTTTCATATATACCATAGTCCATAGTTGTGGTCATTAAATGACAAAGGTGTCGCAACCTGAGGAATTTATAACAGTTACATAAGAAATAATATACAGAGAAATGCGGAAGAGAAGTCGAGCTAGCTATGTTTTTTCCCTCTTTTCTTCTTTTTCCGAAACCTTTTAGTTTGGTGATTAATGGAGAAGGCCAAGCGAGAAATGAGATTTCGCTTTGGCGAAAATTCGCGCGACGCTTCCGGTGCGAGCCGACCAAGAAAAAAAAAAGAAAAAAAAATGAAAGTATACACCTGCATAATGGAAAAACAATGTATAGCGCATTGTTGTACGTGTCACGTCCATTCGGCGGACAACCAATTCAAGAGAAGCTCCATTATCTTTTTTTCTTCCATTCGGCTCTTCGCTACGACTCGACCGACACTCCCCCTCGTTATTTTCCGGCTGAAGTATTTGTCAAACCGTCGCGCCAACTCGTCGCTTTTCGTCGGGTTTTCTCTGTTGATGGTTGACGAATTGATTTTCATTTGAAGCCAGAGGCCAGATAATTATCGAGCAAAGAGTCTTTGGAATTAGATTTAGAACAGAAACGAAAGTTTGATGTACGTGATACGATTATATTAACGCGATATCTGACTATTACAAACTTATCGTCGATTTTCAAATTCAACATACTGTCCGTCGATTATTTGGTTTCGCAGTTGTGTATTCTTGCCAGCTACTTGAACATTTAAGAGACACTAAGAATTATTTATGCAAACTGAGGGAGAAACGTGCAACACCGACCAGCTAACTCTTGTTTCTTTCAACAGACGTTATTTGAATGAGCAACATCAACAAACATCACAATATTACGCAAAATATCCCAGAATTATACAATTTGCTGCATTGCTCTCGATCTTCTGAACCATTAAAAGTATACGCTGATATTTAATGAGTTAAAACTTTTTTTTACACTCTTAAATGCAATAAAAAGCAATTTTATATATCACAAACACGAAAATAAAGAATGTTTTTGTATAAAAATCATGTTCTATAGATTTTTAAATTCAATCTTTCGAGAACTGCAATTACGGATTACACGGAGAATGTAATCAATATCTTTTTCCACAAAAATGTCACGGTTAATTAAATAATTATATTACTCGTGACGTTTATAAAAATAAAATGAAATAAAAGATCTTCTGTCGTAACAATTAAATGCTTTTGCAACAACTAATTTAACAATCGATCGGCAGCTATCGATTCTTATTATTAAATTTCTCAAATTCCGTCTTTTCATTGAGTTTCATTTACGTTATAAATTCTTCGTTTCTAAAATCGTGACTTTCACCACATTTAGCCCAAGATATAACAGAAGAATTTACAGTCAGACCAGTCAGTACTGCACGATTCTCAAATTAATTAATTAATTAAGTCAAACTAACGTCAAAGCAACAATTAACATAAGTCTGTATGTATGTAATGTAACGTCGAACATTAGTCGTCATCCCAAGATATTCCTGATAAGAAACTCTCAGTAAAAACATTGATAATACGAATGAGAATATTTCGTCATAAATTGTAATATCATACAACTTATAATATATGCCCGTAAATGTTAAATATTCCTCGTCATTTCATCGCGCTGTGAAACAATTAAAACACCGTTATCCCTTAAATTTGCCGGCGTGGATCGGTCGTTGCGCGGTTTTATCGTTGAAAAACAGCCGGGCGGAGAGGAGCGAGCCCAAAGTCAGGAGGCGCAGGTTGAACCGAGATCCGCAGCAACTGGAGCGTGAGAATTTCGTTTACCACGCTCGAGAACTCGGCTTGGTTTTGCCAGCGAGCACCGGCAACCGTTTTATTTATTCACGAGTGCTGTCAAAATTAGCATCGCGCGCTACCAAATTATCGACGAAGGATCGATTTCCGAACGCGTCAGGGACACCTGTCTCTCTCTCTCTCTTTTTCTCTCTCATTTTCTCTTTATCTCCCGTCAGAGTCTAGGTGTTCACTGACCTAAACCCTGAACGATCCCCTGAAAATTGCACGCTGAGCCGAGTATCGCGAAACGCGGTGCCAGTAAACACGTGCGTTCGAGATAGCGGGACATAATATACTCACGTCTTGGGCAGAGAGAATCCTCGTGGCAGACTGAATGGTCGTGCTACCCGAGTGGGGTCGATGATGCAAGGATTCGGCGGTATTGTCTCGAGAGTAGACACTCCTGTACCAGGGCAATCCACTTGAACTGTCTCGTCTGTTTCGGTATTTCCTCCACACGTGCCTGCAAAACAGAACAAAACAAGCGGTTCGGTCGCTTCTCGCTGGAATACCCGTCCCTCTGTTCGCCTCTGTTTAACCACGCTATTCGTGCTTTTCTCCATTAAAGAGAGGGAACTTCGAGCCTGTTCGAATACACGCTTCCGTACGCTTTGAAAACTGCCGGATTTTCTGCGGTACATCGCATCGTTCGAGTGGAGCATGCAGCGAAACTGCACTGCAATTCGTGCTGATTCAGTATTGTAATTGGGTATCAGAGCGCGGATGTTTAAAAAAAATGCAAAACTGCACGTCATACGTACAAAATTGCCAGTATGTGATGAAAGAAATTTAATTCGTAATTATTAAAGTGTCAATATGTTCAAGGTATACTATTATTACAATGAAAGAAATCTCTGCAATTGTATCTAAAAAAATTATAAACCCGCATGTGAAAATACGTACGAGTCGAACTTTTACTTGAGATACTTTGGAAGTGGTTCATTTATAGTACTTTAAATATGAGTAGTTACGGCCATCGTAGAGGTATGTTAATAAAGTTATAGATTTAATTTACGTGCAAATAATTTATTAAATTATACATTTGACCTGCAGATGATAAATTGAATTATAGATTTAATAGATTTATTTTCCGTGCTCGTAACTTTAAACACGTTTCTCTATTTGTATATTCGCCAATACTATCCACTGTGTTTTAATTAAATTAAGGAAGAAATATTTGATATTCCTTCATTTTTATAATCAATATCATTCTGAATTTATAAAAGTTGAATTTAAATTCGATAAAAATGTCTTAAAAATTTACCGTAAAAATTTAATATTTGAGGGAATTTAAAAATATCACGTTCGATACAGAAATTGTTCAATAACGTTCTAAAAATTTTTAAATTATAAAAATCTCGATTAATGACTTTACCTTTGCTCGATAATTTTAACAGATTAAAAAAAAAAAAGAACGAATATATTGAAGATAAAATTTCGGAAAATTCCATGTGGAATTCGGCAGAAATTCAACGTTGCAATTTTCACCCGAACGGAGCACAGATTTTGTAAAATTTTTTCACGAAATAGAGAATGAACTACAAAAGCGGGTAATTAAATTCCAGAAAAACACGGACCAAAATCAAAGCAAATCCAAGAGAAATATACCAAAAATTAAAGAAAAAAAAAAAAAAAAAACGTTGTGGAAAAACTCAATTCCGTGTTTAAAAAAACTCGTCGTTCAAATCGCATTAAATCAGAGTGAATCGTACAAAAGAAAAAAAAAAAAAGAATTGGTTACTTTCGAAATGATGTTCGATCAAATCTGCGTAAAGAGATCCGTGTCAAAACAGAGCCAGATGTATGTTGATTTAAATACCAGGAAATTTTATTCGGAAAAACAAAAGGACCCACATCGACCTAATATTTAAAAAAAAAAAACAAATTTAATCAACAAAGCGAAATGAAACGATCGGAGTATACCTTTCCGCAAAAATGGAACGAGGAAATTGAAACAGTTAAAAATGAAACAGCCTGCTCCGGCCAGCCAGTCGGTCACCGCTTAATGAATGAGTGATACACGTTCGTTTTAATTAGTAATCATCCTCGCGCGTAAACCGCGTTCGATGCGTTTTAGTTTGATCCCGCTTATTTGCATAGGACGCAATGGCAATTATTTTGACAGGGAGTCTCGAAATCGTACCTCGCCCCCGTTATAGCGTAGTAGAATTTCGATTGAAACTAGCCCTGGTTACGCGAGCTTCGAAAATAATTTGAATACATCTACCGCGGCGGTTGAACAACTGTCGAATAAATTGTTCCCATTCTCCCAAATAGACCGGGCATTATCCTCCGGTTGGCAGCCACAATTTCAGCAATAACGCAGGATTATTGTTCCTACCCTCGAAATACGACGGAAATTTGCGAATACGTGCAGCACCCGCACAGATCCGTGGAATCGGTTTTTATTGCAAGGACGGCATTAACGGAACCCACCACTTAGGCCAGAGTTAATTTCTCGGGACCAAAAGAGATTCATTGAAATTTACACTGTATATTCTCTCTCCGGCGATTTCGCTGGGAATGAGAAAGCAAAGATAAATTCGAGTTGAAGAAAAATGAAAGGTTGAAAGACGAATTGAAAATCTAATCCTTTCAATACAGAATATCCTTAAAAGTTTTTTCAAGAGCATGCAGTATTCACTGGAATAAATAAAAAGTCTTGTTCAGTGTATTATACCATGCGTTTTCATATTTTGTTGTAGCTCCCGCGTTTCACTTTAGTCAAAGAACATTCTTTATGATTCTGTTGCTAACGAATACTATTTGTAGCTGAACTTTGGAACCAGTGGTTCTACCGCTTTGTGTAGAAAGAAAAAAAAACAAAAAAAAAAAACAAACGAGTCCGCAAGAAAGAATAACACTTTGCCACTTGGAATTGAATCGTCCCAGAAACAAAGCTATTCTATGAAAAAACTTCGCTCAACATTTTCCACTTATTTTCCCGCATAGAACATTCTCCCTCTCGGGTCCGGTCTTGAATCAATTAAATTCAAACTTTCGGAATTAATTCTCTCTAAAACGAAATTTTAAATGGGAAAAAAATCGGTCCCTCTCTCTAGACTTATTGTCACATGTAAAACCACCCTGCGTTATTTCATGATCAAAAAGTCGCTGCGAGTATTTACGTAATTAACAACAGAAATACTGCAAGAGAGAGAAATACTGCAACTGCAAAAGGTTAGGACCTACATATATAACGAATCGCGAATAAATCGTATAATCCTTCCATCGTGGTTTATGTTGCCCCGATAGAAACGATCCCTTTGTCGTCTTCGCCCCCATTGTTATCGATGAGATAGCGCGCGCGTGCACGGATTGCAAGAATCGCGTGGGTTTAGGTATCGATACATCGTAAGGGATTAGAGATTACGCGGCAGCAAAGGCGACAATCGATCAGCATGTGAATTTCCTACGGTGGGTAGGTGTTATAACAGAAACGGTTCGACAGTGATCGAGCCGCGTGCAACGCCGCGCATCGGCTTTGTCTTTAATTGCCCCATTAATCAACGTCGAAGCTTTCGCTTTCACGAGATACAGCCACGAGAGCACCATCGTCTCTTGTTCGCAGTTATAACGCGACCAAACCTGTACCGTTAACTTATCTGCCGACTTAACGGTTTTTCCGTGCTGCTCTTTCGCGCGGTTAGATGTTCCGCAGATGTTCTCGTCTCTGTGTCTCTCAACGCGACTTGAACGTGCTCGTGCACAGCTGTGAAGAACCATTGCGCGTACTGTATGAAGTTAGAAGAACTCTTACAAGTATATACCCAATTTTGTGTCTGCACGATAAATACTGACGAGTAGATTAAAGATAAATAAAAGATTGATTGATTTCAGATCTAAACAGTCAGCGAAATTAATGTAATAAACTGTCGAAAAATTCACGTTGGAACTTTATCATTTTTATTTCTTATTATTGCGAAGATTGAAAATTGTACGTGTGTAAATAAAATGATTGTTTGAAAAGGAAAAGAACATGTCGCACGAAATGCAAAATGAATTACACGTAACAATATTTTATTCACTATCACTTTCTGGCAAGCAAAACAGTAATATTACTTCGCTATCGCTAGAAATATCTCGGTCATGAGTCTCTTGCTTCATTGGTGAAATACCATTTTGACGACGTATTCGCGTTTTGAAGTGTCTTCTGGCTGTTTACTTCTAACCTATCCAAATAGACATTTGGACATTCGAGGAATAGTAAGAGAGCGAGAAACGATTACAGAAAAAAAGAAAAAAAAAATGTTGTTGCGATTGTTGCGCAGGTGCGCGCCTCTCCAAAATTGGCAAACTCATACGAAAGAATATTTAAATATAGCGAGAACACGTCACCTGTCCTCGCGACAGAGTGGACTCGATTAAGATAATCCCCCGATACTTCGTTGCAAATATCGTGAAAAATGAAGTTGCCCTGGCGACAAATAAAACGCAATATCGAAAATTCCCCCTTTATCCTCTCGCCTACTTTCGAGAGATGGAACCACGCAGCTGTTTGACACGGTGTAAAATCTCCGACGATAAGAGAGAGACAAGTGCGGGTTAAAGAAACGGGCGTCAGTTTGCGACAGTTTTCTAAGCGTACGTTTACGAGACGATGCCTCGTGCCGAGATCTTACCTGACGCCGAAGGCGATCCCCAGCGCGACGATCAGCGGCAGCAGCGTCGAGATACAGGCTAGAAAAACGGTCTGTATATCTGAGAAACCGGCGAGTATACCTGCAAAAGCGTGTAAAATGCGTTAGTACATTGTGAATGTGAAATTGTGGCAATTTTAATGGGCAAGGATTAAAGCGATTAAAGTTTCTATGACACGCGAGCGGGACCTCGGTCACGGCCACTTCGATCTCGCCAATTAAAAACACGCCAACCGCGCGAGAAACGAGAGCAGAATGAATACGTGTGTGCATCTCGCGGTGATGCGCGTGACGCGCGTATTTTTCCCCAATTGCAGTCACGACGTCTCGAGAAAACTGCGGGATGATGACGTCGAACGACTAAACTAATCGATAAGTAAATTCCCCTTGAATCTTTTTTCACCAATTTTTTTTTTTTTTTTTTTTTTTTCCTCCAACGAGAGGCTCGTCAGAGCGAGCGAAAGGTTTTAAGGTTACGACAACGTTAATTGCCGATCCGTCCGCCGACCTAACCTAAGCTTCGACACGTCAACACGATGCGTCCCAGAGAGATAGCTCTATCGTCGATCTCGTTTCCACTGACCCTAAAAGCGATGATAAGCGGACAGCTGCGGGACAACCGCGTCATCAACGTACAATGAGCTGCGACTGTTTCGCGAGGAGAGCGTCATGGGTGACCGTCGAGCGCGAGAAATGGATGAACTGTTACTTCCGCAAGCTGGTGCCGCTTTATAGAAAGTCCACCTGCCTGTGGAAGAAAGATACGCGCAGCTACTTGGACAGGGAGCAGAGATACCGTGCCTATGCACGAATTCATCGAGCCATGGACCTACCGGGAGTGACCTTGGTGGAGATGGTGTTGAAGATCCGCGAGATGCGTCGCCTCTACGTGAACGAATTGAAGAGGCTGCTGGAGGCGAGGTCGTGCAACCACTGCTATCGGACCTCGCTACCGTGGTTCTACGATCTGCATCGATTTCTCTATCCGTACCTGGATTACGATGAGGCGGTCGAGTTGCACGTTCGTACATATACATATACGTATATATATCGATAAACTCGTTACGCTGTTAGCATGGACGCTGGTGGCTCGACAGTTTTGCCAATAACCTTCGTGTGTGTAGTTTCTTGTTACCGGTGGCTCTCCCCGGTACCAAACGTTTTTAATCCTACGATTACAACGACGCTTTCGATACTCGGCGAACAACGAAACTTATACACTCGGCAGTTTCCGTGGAAAGTTTCACGGTAGTGAAATAGAGATAAATTACATTCGGGCGAATAAATTAAATTTTATTCTATTGGAGCAGGTCGCGTAGCTGGTTTATTTGCGTCCTGTATTTAATTGCAGTTAATTTTCATATCACTTTCCGTTCAACCCTTAAATACTGTACACTGTTTGTAAAATTGCTCTCAATTTTCGTTCGTTTCTGTTGCACTTCGTATATTGTTTCATATTTATCTATACTGTTCAATCTCGATTTGAATTCTTTAATATAAAGCAGGATCGAATTTAATTTTTATTCGCCATCCGGCACAAAAAGATAGCTCGACTTCGCCGTTTCTTTCTCGTATAAACGCGTTTCTCTGCAAGTTGCAAACGGCACAGCTTGTGCTCTTGCCTTGGCCAAGGTTTTTGTTGCAACTTTCGTCACGGTTTCAGATGTTCGCAATTCTTTAAAAGATGTCGAACATTGCCAACATTTGTCGTAACTCTAGCTTCTTCTGCAAGCTTGAATTTATCCTGAGCTGTTAAACATTGCGGTCTAACTTTTCTTTTTCCACAATTATCGGTATCTTTTAGTACATTAACTATTACTTTGCGACTTTCGTTAATTGTTCTGGCCATTTTTATTACAGGATAATATCCTGTATCCGATATACTCGTTTAATTTCAATATCGTATCGTATGTATTTCAGCCGTTTAAATCATTTTTACGAATGTTAATGCGCAGTTAACTGACTCGTATTTCACACGAACGTTACACTTTCGATAGCTTCGACTGAGCATAATAAGACGAACACAGAGGAGCATAAACATTCGACTTGTCCGAACTTGTTCGCCTCGTGGCCAATATTTATATTTTCGTTTTTGTATCATTTTGAGAAGTTGCGTCTTGGTGATGATTCAACACACTACACACCCAACGATACGATACATGACAAAAGAAAATATAGAGTGTGTTTATCTGTAATCATAAGTACACAAGGGTACAACTTTGTTTCTACAAGTCAGAATTATTTATTATCGAGTAATTATATTCCAGTTTTACAATACGTATTCGTATTAGGCACGATAATTAATTATCAAAGTTAAACCAATTACACGTTTCGTAAATTTCTCGATTCCTTCCATCTGGATACGTAATTCAAACGAAACTAGCCTAGATACGTTGTAAGTTCCAAGGAAATTCTTACAAAATTCCACCAGTGCGTAACAGATACGAACAAAAATAGAATTAACTTGTTAACATCAAATTAATCAGACCGTTATCGCGATGTTTGAATTTACTTATCCTCCATAGTTCAATGTTTCAAATAAAATAACATAACTTTAAAGCTTTCGATAATCTCTCCAAGATATAATAATATTTTTCACAAGTACTCGAATATTTATGAACGTAAAGCGTCCGACTCGAAATTTAATGAATATCAAGTACGTCGATAATCTCCTCATAAGTGTCGTTTAACAGGACCTCGTACGAATGTGTCGACATCCACAAAGGATGAAAGAATATTTCAAAGTAAAATACCACCGTCGAAATGGCTGTACACGAGAGCTTTGGCACGGTGCTCCGCGCACAAATGCGGTCATACATATTTAAATAATAGTTTTCCTATTCCGCGCGATATCCGCGCCATCATTTCCCCTGAAAATGAGACGATTCGTCGCCGGATTTTCGCAGAACCCTGGCCAAACTTTTGTCGAGACGAGGGAGGAGACCGAGGAACAAAAATCACGGGCAACTACGTCGGATTGCAGTTGCGTCCGATGCCTGATATCCAACAGGAACAGCCGTATCGAGAATTTCTTATCGTCTAACACGCAACGAGCTCTCACTACCCTGAACTCCAGTTCCCCTGTCGTTTCCTTGGCCGAAGTCAAGACTCGCTCTCGCAATTGTCCCCGCTCCTGCAGCAGAATTACCGAGGCTAAGAAACGGCTGGACAGATTCCCTTCTCAAGGTGTCTACTCAACGATCAGCAGATCCACATCCTGCTACGAAGAATTCCGACATCGCGGCGATACAACTGAGAACGAATTAATGGACAGGCGACAGGTTGATTAGCTGTAATTAGTATCAAGCGTAGAAGTGAGGATTTGTTTAGACGATGTTTAGATGAGCTACTATCTTGCGATCATTTGCGAGTGTAATTAAAGAAACAGGTGTTGCTCTCGATGTTACAGAAAGAAATCAGGCGGGAAATCTAAAAATTAATTTAAAAGATTTAAAAAATCTGACAATTGATCTTGATAATAAGGAACAACAGCACTGCGTTATGTCGATCGTTTTACATTTAACAAGCAGCAACCGAGTCTGAAATCCAACGTTCCCACAAAAGCAAGAAATTAATCCCTTTATTCGTAATTAACATTTCACGTTGCATTTACTGAATTGCATTTACTGCATAAAATGAATTGACTGCCAGTGTAATGAAAATCAGACTAATTGGGAAGGATCTGATTGCGTGTATTTTGTATAACCTACATGAAACTCGTTATTGAAATAGGGAAACTGTCGCGAATTTACAATCTGCGGGTTGCACAGCACGGCATCCAGTGACAATACCTGCGAGACCGACTCAGATCAATTAGATACTTTCTCTATGACCGTGACACGTTGTCTGAAGAAGTTGGACAAACCATGCGCGCTGAAGGCGCAGGCAAAGATTCAACAAATCTTGAAGAACATGCTGATGAAATCGAAGGTAATAAACCATAGATACGAGAAGAAGTATTGGCAAATGTTCTCGCTCCGATTTGACTGAAATTCCGATGGGTTCCTTTCAGATTGAAACGGGAATTATTCACGAGAAGGATTCTTTGGCAATTCAAGATTTTACGAAGAAAGTTTTAGAAAATATTTCCGACACTACATATATTATTTTATAACAGTTATTACGAATTCTATAATAATTAAATTTCTAATTCATTTTATAAGTATTCCGAGTAATTGTGTATGTCGGAAATATCGTTGTTGTTAATTTTCAAGTAGCCAAACATCCTTCTCGTAAACACTGTCGTTGTCTAACAGCAACCTGCTTTCAAAATTTCAATCAAATCGAACATTTCGAAAATCCGCCAGAGCATTTAAAATCAATCCATTTCGTAGAACAATCCGCCGAAACGAACTCCTCCGCGCAAATCATCCTACGATCTGCGATAAAACACACTGTCGAAGATCCGGAAGGAAGGTAAATTTACAATCTAAATATTTGAACAGCTATCTGGAGTTAAAAATACCAGACGCATTGTTTCAGCATCCATCCGGTACGAAGCGAAATCCCAGAAATCCGACGGTTTGATCGCCGGAGCATCGTCGCTTACCTTCAGTTTGTGCATAGCAGGTAACTCTCATAAATATTACAAAAAAGAAAAAAAAAGAAAAGAAAGAAAGAAGGAAAAAAACTCCCGGCCGGTGTATGAATAGCTCGCGAGTAGCATGAACATCTAACGACAAAAAGCTACAATCGGAGACTGAATTTCGTCGTATATCACGGTTCTAGCTGAGCACTGGATGGTATCGATCCGACTTCGGTAGACCGCAGCGTTACGATTAGTATTCAGCCGGTGTCGCAGTCGGCCGGTCAGACAAGGACGAGGATGGCAAGATTTGCTCCGGCAAAACGGAGGCTGCGTGCCACGCAGCCTCTGATAACGGGTTACCCTTTGATCGAAGCATCTTTCTCTCTCTTCCTCTCAAAGAAAATAAAAGAAGTCCACGTTCCTCCGTCGTTATTGCCACATATAAACACAGCCTCGAACGAGAACGCGTTAATCCTCAAAGCGTGTCTTCTCTCGATTAAAGGATCATCAGAGATTGTATCGGATCTGATTCTGGCTACGAATCCACCCCGCTTGGCTTCCAGATCAATTACTCGAGTCGAAAAGAGTTTTCATCGCTGCGCTTGATCAGAATTCTAAGAACGCAACTTCGAGGAATGATCGATGCACTTTCAACCCTCGCGAGCGAAGAGGTTGATATTTCTCGCCGGAAGTGAAAATTCTCGGCGAATCAAGCTATTTGCCTCGTGAAAGGAAGAAAAAAAAAAGAAAAAAGAAAAGAACAAGTTGGAGAACAACGTGGTAATAAATTCCGAGAGCCGGGAGGATTAAGCTCCGCCGGAAACTGTTTTGCGTGCCGTAGGGCAACAGGAACAAGAGGAAACCGGGGGATCTGCGGTTAGTCTGCTAGGACGGCCGGGAGAGCCTAGAACGAACGGGGTTACCACGTTTAGACCAATTCCCAAAATCCCCTTGATACTCGATGAAACACGGGATCCGAGCTTGATCAAAAGAGATTGAGAACCTTTCGCCGTGACGATTAAACAGCTCGCGAGTATCTACTCGCCTGTTCGCGCGTTTCGTGCGAGATCACAGAAATCAACGTGGAAAAATCGAATCGGCCAGGGGAACAATTAACATGAGAACGAGTGTCTAATTCGATGGAAACTGCGATACGCCGTGAGGCAAACACGCGCTGAAATTATTTTCGAACGAACAAAGAGCGCGGCCTCGGCTCCGTGGACCTCGTCGAGCCATCGAACCCTATCGATACTCGGCTTTTTTGCGAACCGGCAGCCGCAACTGGAAATATAATTTTTTCCCATGGCAGGGACATCAAAGCGAATTCCATCGGTCGCCGATCGAGAAGCACGAGAGAACGAGAAGAGGTAAGCACGAGAGAAAAAGAGAGAGAAAGAGAGAGCTAGACGAAGTTAGCAAGGTTAGCAAGGTTAACACGGAGGAGTATGTAGTCAGAGGCGATTGGTAAGTGGCGTTTCCGGGCGAGAGCAGCCTAATGCAGTCCCATTAGGTTCGGCTTTGACCGGTATAACGCGCATTAACCGTATTCACAGGCTCTTATTACTTACTGTGATCGAGCTCGTCGTGCTCCACGAGGTAGCCGCTCACGTTGTAGATGTGATGGTCGGGTTTAGCGGTGCTGGTAACCGCAGCACCACCCGTTACTGTCGTGGACGGATTAGTCGGAATTGCTGTGCTAGCGCTAATCGCGGCTGCGACCACGCCAGGCGGCGACGAGGATATCGTCGATACAAGATTCATCGTGCCGGTCGAGTTCTCGACCTTCGTCACGTTTAGCTCGCTCGTCATTGTTCTGTCCGTTCTGTCCAATGTCCCGTCTCTTCTACCTTTGCATATCACACCTCTGTCGGGAATTCACGACTTCGAGGGGAAGAGAGAGAGAGAGAGAGAGCGTAACCGCGACGCGGTTATTACTCCAAGTTTGTCGGGCGACTAGCTGCGCGCCGAGTCATCGATTCGATCGGTCGGTCGACGCTGGTGGACACGCTGGATTCAACGTTCAATTTGCAATTACTATTCAATTTAGACTTAAGCTGCGCCGATCGGATCGGTTTGCCGGGCGACAACCTTCTTGAGAGGGTTCAGGATGCAAACAACCACGGATCGAGTCGACGGATCGGAAATCCAGTTGCACGCCGCACGAAAACCGAGGAACTCCCGGCCGCTTTGCATCTCTTCCGGCCAGCAGATCGGTGAAATTCGAAACACGCAAGCGATCCGAACTCGCAATTAGCCAATTCGGCCAACCCCCGAGCCAACCCAAGCCCGATCTCCTTAAAGACGGCCGGTTAATTGGATTCACCGAGTGTCCTAACAACCAATTAACCGATCGTTACTCGCGCGTCACCGCGCGTACAAACAACCCGAACCCGAAACACAGCTTTCTCTATGGCACGATCGACCGACACACGTCCGCGTGCAATCGTATCGAGGACGTCCCTGGTCTCCCTGCCTGGAGAAACTATCAATTACGATTATCAGTGCAACCAGTTATGGGCGCTCGGCAGTTCGTAACTTCTACTCGGCCTATCTCTCACCCTTGGCCAGATTTCACAAGTGGATTAAACCCGACCAAACAAAGAGATCCAACGAAAAAAGAGAATGAGAAACTTGTTTGGCCCCTTGTCTATGACGCCGCTCCTTCTCTCCCTCTCTCCCTCTGTTTCTCTCTTTGTAGCCAGCAGACGAGCTCGTTCCTCGGTTCAATTTCGCCGGTGTGGAGGACGATTCCGTTGGTATTTGTTGGCGAGCAACCGAGTGTCGTTCATTCTCGCTCTGTCTTCCTCCCGGGAGAACCGCCTTCTGCAACAGAAAAAAAAGAACAAGTCCTTGCAGTGGATTGCCCGTGTAATTTCATTTCCTGCCTGGGAATTCATCGACCGTTGTTAGATTACTCCCGTAACAGTTGGAGAAAAGGGGGAGAGACGATGTCGAGGGTGTTAACGTTTTCGAAGGAACCTTACAATACGGTAGAATCCACCACGTCGCGCGATCCCAAACGCTCGCGGCTCTGCTTGCGATTTACGGTGTGTTACGCGCCTCAGTCGCCGGCGACTGGTTTGATCATTACCGTCGTTAAATGCGCCAACACTCGGGAGGAATTTTTTTCAAGGTTAGTTTCACGTCGGTTCATCATCTCCAGTGTCGCCGCGTCGCCATCGTTCTCCGCTTTTATCGCTCGTAAAGCACACCGTTTCTAGCTGTTCTACGTCATTACCAACCCCATTATCGTGTTTTCTTCTTTTCATCAGTCCGTTGCATTATGTAACGAATGCTCGAGCGACGCTACCCTTGGAGGAAACTTTTTGACGCTCAAAACGACCGTCAACGACGACTGTAACGTCGGTTGAAACAGAAAGATTTCGTTGGAGTGGAGTAATGTTGTTACTAATTTGGAAATGAAAAGGCACACGCTGGCTGAGGATAGTATTCGAACACTTGCGTCGTGGAAAATATGGATGAAATTTAAATCAATCAGAAGTTGCAAAATATTTACCGTAATAATGAAGTGTAATTGGTATAAAACAATTTTGGCTTATTAACTCACGGTAATAACTTCATCAATACATCACCGCTGCATATATTATTTATAACAATTATTAATTGCGAGACTTTAAATTAAAGTGAATAGCCGCAGCTAATTAATAATCCTTTATTCTTGTAGCAACGTAATGAATAATTGACCGTTTAAATAGTTTTACGATCTTTATGAATATTTTGCAGCTTCGATGTAAATTTCCAGAATTGTTCCAAACTTTAATTCGTGTGTTAATTAGAGACGGTAAGAGTCTCGTGATGAAATGCTAATGAAATTTCAAAATGTTTTGCATAGCATACCGCTGTGCGAATACTTTCGTGCGCTTGCGCGATTCGGAAAGAAAAATTATCAATGTTCGAAATTTGAGGACAACCTTCCTACTAGGGAAGCAAAAAAGATATCTAACTCGCCGCGTTTCTCCCCTATGTTACTCGCATGAAATAAATTTCTCGAATGAGATTCCGTAATAGGAAGCACGGGACTATCCACATTCCACGCCCACGTTCGCATTTGAAGTCCGTCGATAAATTCTGGAGCTTCCGGCAGGCTTCATCTCGGCCCATTCACCCTCTCGAATTTGTCTTTGTCCCTGTGACCGTGTCTTTCAGCCTCTTACAAAGCATTTCCTCTAACCCTTTCGACTCTTTGTCTTTTCCTCTCTCATTTCTCTCGTAAGCCCTCCGCCTAAGCGCGCGTGCACACACACACATACACACACACACACACACGACACGTTTCAAATCATAGCGAATCGTGCGAGAAATACTAGAGGAGACCTGATTTAGTCATTTTCACGCGACCAAGCCGCGTAGTTGTCACTGATTAGTAACGGATCTAGTTCAGATTCGCAGCAGCGAGACGGGATAGACAATTTCGAAATACACCGCGTTCCTCGGGTCACAATAGCAGTTTCCAGCGGAAACGTGCTCGATAATTAAACTTGGCTGATAGTTAGCGCGGCATTGTTCCGCTAACAGTTTTCCGGGCGTGCAGTAATTATTCATAAGCGTAAGTTCGTAATGAACGTATGCACGCGCATTCCCAGCCATGCTTGAAATTCGGCCACCCGTAGCCAACCTCGGTGACCCTCCCCTCTCTGTTTTACTGAATTTCAAGCACACCTTTCCTAGGCGTTTCGCAAAAATTTCGACGAGAGAACTCGGCTGTAGTTTCTTCGGAAAAGCGAAACAGAGATTGAACTTTCCTCGATCAACGAGCGAAACCCTCGAGACCACCCATGATTCTGAATTGAATGTTTAACTCGATACTTGAAGGTACTCGAACTTTAAATAAATACGCGTTTACCATCTCGTCGCGACGATTCCTCGCGGTAGTCAAAAAATACGGGACGACTCTCTATATTTTTCTAAATTTCAATCTTCTCTGACTTCTCCAAAATGTCTACTATGAAAGAGACTGTGAAAAGGCGCGAGTTTCTCCGAGAGAAAAAAAAAAAGAAAAAAAAAGAAAAAGTAGGAAGGAGAAGAAAATGACAAAGATTGGACTTTCTCGGGCAAATGAAAGTCGAGGAGCGAGATGAAAGCCCTCGAGACGACGCACGATTACATTGGACATTTAATATCGATAATTGGCACTCGATGTCTGTGGTGGAACGTCGTTAACACGAGCCCATCGGTAGTTCGAACACGACTTCGCATTAATTGGCACGGCGCATTGAAATTGCAACTGCACTGCGGTTGCCTCGAGGACACTCCTACGAGCTGGGAGGGAAGGAGGGAGGGCGTCGTCGTAGGATACAAACTACCCTTACAGGACCGGTTGACATTGTATAATGAACTCCGCCTTAACGCAACAATACAACGTGATAAGCAATACCGACCGAATTATTAATCCTCGTCCTCGTTAATTTGCGTCAACTTGACGCGCTCTTCTTTTACAGAAATATTATTTTACACCGCTACTTGACACTCGGTGTCCCTATTTTTTTCTGAAATCTAACTTTCATTCGGATCATTCTGTTAATTTTTAGAAAATTAACTATCACGAGCTAACACGAGATAAATAACAACAATGATGACAAAGCATACCACGAAAGTTGTAGATAACATCTGTTACAAAAAAAAAAGATTCTCGCGCGTGATTGAACAGGAAAATTTAGTTCATTCGTTGTTAATAAATCAATTTTCGACGGGGCATCAAGTCGGAAAATACGAGGGAGGGGCGAGAATTAATCGAATCGAAAAACGATTACGTTGTTTCGTCAAAAAAAAAAAAAAAAAAAATCAGCGATTGCGGCGCACTGCTGACCTTTTATTGCAGAACGTACCCCAGAAAATGCTGGCCGTGGTTAATTCATCAGACCTCCGGCACGGAAGTTCGCCGATTCAATGGAGAACAACGGAGAGCGACGGTGGCTGATTACGCGATGCTCTGTGTGTGTATTTTCGCGACCTCTTTTATCGTCATCCCTCATTTAGCACGACGCGCGTAAACTTGCAAGAATATCCGATGAACGTGACGTCTTCGGGCCTGGAAATTATTTTCCAAGCTTAGCGGATCCCTCCCCTGTATAAAGTATGACCGAGTCAGATTATCGTTCGGCTAAAGTATTCACCGAGGAAGCTCGTCGGGCTGTGTACGAGCGGGTTCATCGAGGGCCGTTTCACGAGGTAAAGAACGTTCAGCCGGCGAGAAATTTACGGAAGAGGAAAAGCGAAATATTCTCTTTGTCGCGCGCGGGGGAGTGGAGGGGTGCGCGCAGCAAAGTGAAACAAAAATTCCTGACGAGCGGCAGCAGCCGTGTAATCAACGGGAACCGTTGCCTAGGCCCGGTCTCTCGCAATCAGCAGCGAGATCGCGCAACCACGGAAACGTGGAGGTGCACCCTCCCCTCCCCCCTTCCCCCGACTGCCGAGATTTTAATGAAAATTTACATTCAACGGCACACGCCACACCGCCGCCTCCGGTGTTCTCGGAATGCCTGTCAGATTTGTGCCACGTACGTCGTGCATTTTCTCGAGAGTATCGGCTTAACTCGGTTGCGCGTGTGAAACGTAAGCGAGGAACAAGGCAAACAGCGATGGGATCTGAAATATCTTCGAATCGTTTCCAATCTGTCCTGCGTATTACGACGACGAATTCGAAGCTGAAACATTCCAAGAGTCTCGACGAGATATTAAGAGCGCAACGAGTATTTTACAAGCTTCGATTAAAACAGCATCATGAACGAAATCTAAGTGCTGTCATATATAATATGACAGTACGATGATATATAACGGATTCATCTTCGAACACGTAGCTTTCAATTTATTTATTAGCATTATAACTTAGTCTGAGATCCCACGACCGACAGCAACCCGACCCGCCGCCGTCGAGATTCGTTCTCGCGCGCTTCGACGAGCATCTGGCCGTTATGGCGGTTTAGTAATTCTTACGTAACGCCTCGCATCGCCTCGCCTCGCCTCGTCTCGGCTCGGTTCGGCTCGGCGAGATCGCGATGCCGATTTGCATAATCGAACTCGGCTGGTTCGGCTCTTCCCGTGCTACTAACCGCCGCGCCAGCTAAACGCAATTGCGGCATCTGCGGCGCTAATAAGAAACTTTCTCGGCATTAATTCCGTTAGGTTCGTTTAACCGGCGCCGTGTGCCAACGACGACGACTCTCGCGGCGCTGTCTGCTTAAACGGCCTCGACGAGAAAACAGCAATTGGCTTGGCCGCCGGAGAGTTTAGGCCAAGTGTACACATGAATTTCCAACGATAGCAAAAGTCGTTCGCTCGCTATTAATTAATTACTCCGGCTAGTTAATTAGTCAACGAGTCTATTCGCGAAGAAATTTCGCGAGCGTACACTCGATGCGCAAAGATCGAGAAACATTTCGGACTTTGATCTTCGATACCGCTTCTGCCAGGTAGCCAGCAGGCTTTGTAATTAACTTTCGCGTCGGAGTCTCTTTTGCGTCTCGATTTTCGACCGACGCTCGTTAGTGAACAGAGGACTGCGCCGTATTTCGCGTATTTTTCGTACCGATTGGCGAACTTATTTTTGGAAAAGATCCTCCGCGTAAAGGAAACCGTATCTCCGTGACAATTTGTGGCACGAATATAACGATAATTATAATTTTCTTTTTGAAAGAACGGATATGAGAATTTTTGACAGAGAACAGCACTGATATTTTCGTGTTCCACAGCGATCGATGAGTTTGTTTTTCAGGAATATCTCTGACGCAAAGCGACTCGTAATTGCACGATAATTCATAATTTTTGAGAGGAAATTGCACTGGCTTTTGATAAATTATTTTTGT